TATATATATAGACCACATTCCGTTAATTCCTAAAGTGCATGCAACTATGCAACCACACATTTTTCCTCGACTTTTCCTTGCACGCATGATCAGAAGTCACGACTGGCAACCCGGAGACGAAGCGAATTGTCCGGATTGTCCCAGCAACCCTTCTTTTCTATTTACCACCCTTTACTCAGCGCACACATCAAACTATCTCGATAATTTCAAAATGATCCTACGATCGTTAAAGAGCCAAGAGATCTGTCCTTGAGCCTCCAGCGTCGTGTTTAATTTATTTATAAAATGTTATGGGTCACCTATTCCCCGTTTGCCGCGATATCTAAAATTGGAAATCGATGTAGCAACCCTCTCGAGAGAACGATTGAGAAATACATACAGAGAGAGAGAGAGAGAGAGAGAGAAGCGCGAGAAGAATAAAAGAGAGCGGTAGAAAGAGGAGGAGGGCGCGAAGGGTGAGTAGAGAAACGAGTCTGGTTCCCAGGATGGGGCAGGAAGTGCCTAATAGCCGTGAGAGGATCGTCAGGAAGACGGTCAAACTGGTTTAAAGGCAAAGGATGAGCCAGCGGTCAGGGAGAAGATGAATGGACCAAACGCGTGGATCGAAGCCGAGATCGTTCCGTTCAATTAACTCACCAGTTGCTAGCTTCTGCCATATTTTCCTGAATTCGATGACTTACAGATATCAGAAGGCTAGAGCTTTGAAATATATCAATGGAAATTATCAGAGCCAATATCAGAGAAAAGGTTGTTGCACGTGAAGTACAGTACAGCTCTATCAGAGATGCATAACTTTCAAATTTTTGTAGAACTGAATTATTTTTAGTGGAACTGAACGTTGGGTGCCGTTTTCGCAAAATTTCCCCTCACGAACCTCAACACTCGTTGAAAAGTTATTACAGCGAAATTAAATAACAAAATTCAGGGGGGGGATGACGACTTTCTATAAACGTTTCAGAACGTTTCACCACGTACCTCCTGGTTTGTATACCGTTTGAAAGTTGTCCGTGGTGAGCCACGGCTGCCAGAGGCACCTTCTCCTCGGCGAGATCTCCATGCTTCCAAAAGTCTTCAGGTGTCATGAACCCAACTTGCAACCACCACGAACATCGACAAACATATGTATCAGAAATCAGAAATCAACGATTTCTCTCCTCTCTTATTCCCTCATAGACCATTGTCCATAGAGTCTCAAGGACAGGGGAACACCGTGAAACGATTAGACTAGATTCCCATTAGATCGAGTTGTCAAAGCTGCACCGATCTCGATCCACTTTCCCGACGTTTTATGTACAATCGTCCTCTCTGCGTTACGAAATCAAACGGCGAAGTACGCGAGATATCCTTTCCACGGGAGGATCTTCTTCTCGCCGAAGAAAGCGGCTTCCATGATGTCCTGGTGGCCTCGTCGAGGTGAGTTCGAAGAAAGCGACGTGACGCGATCTATCGACGAATTCGACTGGTTGTCGGCCAGAAACCAGGATCGTCGGCTCTCAGAGGCGTGTGGACCGAGGCTGCAGGATCACGCCAGATTGTTCGAACTAGCACGTTAAGAGATACGAGGAAGAGGCCAAGGAACGTTGGATACGAGTTTTCTACAAAAGATAGACAGAGTCAGAGATACGTGGATTCGTGAATGTCCCTCTTACACGACTGTCTTAAGATTCATTCATTCATCCGCCTCGTCCCCTCGTCTGCCCCCTCCAGCTGGTGAAGCTTGCCTTTTACACATGCACACGATCCGCGCACTTGGATCGTAGCGATGGCTTCGTTTTATTCAATTCTT